TCTCTCTCTCTCTCTCTCTCTCTCTCTCTCTCTCTCTCTCTCTCTCTCTCTCTCTCTCTCTCTCTGTGTGTGTGTGTGTGTGTGTGTGTGCGTGCTGTGCACTATGGTGCACCCACGCTCATTCACATGTGCTCTCTCTCTCTCTCTCTCTCTCTCTCTCTCTCTCTCTCTCTCTCTCTCTCTCTCTCTCTCCTGGGAGGTGCCGGGACGGCCTGGGATGGCCTGGGACCGCCTGGGACAGCCTGGGACGGCCTGGGACGGCCTGTGATGGCTTGGGACGGTGTGGGACATGACAGAAGTGCTGAGTTGAAAACTCTGTTCTTGTCGAGTGATAGGGCTGGGTAAGAGGGTCTGGTAGCAGAGATGTATAATTATAGGAAGTTTGAGAAAATCATTCTCGCACTGCACCGTAATCTCATTTCTTCAACCTCCAGGTGGTAATTGTGGGGCTTATAGGATACTGCTTTTGCCTGGCGTCCGAAGTTCCCGGGTGACAAGGCTCACTCGTCTGTGCTTCAACTACTTTCTTCCCCCGAATACAACGTACGGTCATTATAGGTGCATTTGGGGTATGTTTTAGTCTAAATACAGCCATAATGACCGTACGTTGTATTCGGGAGAAGAAGGTAGGGATGCGGAGGGGTTAATACCCACTCCGGGCTTGTCCGTGATTCGCCTCAGCCTTGGGTGAGCTGGGCCAGCACAAAAGGTAGGGCTGCGGAGGGGTTAATACCCACTCCGGGCTTGTCCCGTTGAGCCTGCCTAGCCCTGGTGCCTGTAACTGCTATTCGCTCCATGTCATGCTCTGAGATAAGGAGGTGATAGTCCAAGGTGATTAACACTGAGGTAGGATGGTAGGAATAGGGGGTGCGCTGGGAGAATGATGAGAGGATTGATCGGGAGGCGGTCTCACAAATTGAACGACTGTCAGGACAACCAATGGCTGGCTGGTGCAGCAACCACCGTGTGCCTGGTACCTGGCCTCTACAACAACCTGGGCTTCTTAAGGGGGGGAAAAAAAAAGAACAAAAAAAACCCTAGTATAAGGCTGAAACAGAGTGTAGGACCATTCCTAGAAATTAAAGGACGGCACAGAGATTTCGTCACTTTGCCTCAAGGGACCTCCTGAAGTCCCTCGAGACTGTGGACTGAAAATGGCAGCCCACCCGCCTTTGTTTTGTGGGTGTCAGACTGCCCACTTGCTTGAGCCCTATTAGCTGAAACTCAGCTTTTAGTTGTTTTCTCTCTTGCATTGCCAAAAGAAAAAAGCAAAAGAAAAAAGAAGCACGATGTGATTGCCCACTTGCTGGAGACCTATTGGCTGAATCTCCGCTTTTTGTTGTTCTTTTGCTTGCATCGCTGGCTGAAATTCAGCTTTTTGTTGTTGTTGTTGTTTGGTTTAAACTACGCTATATTCTTCTCTCAAATCTTTCATCATCTTTCAAATTCTTTCAATCCACCTTCACTACCTATCTACCACTACTCCTAAGGCTTAGACAGGGAACCCCCGCAAACATAGCTTTGTTGTCTCCCTCCAGCCATCAGAGGGGATGCATGTTGCCCCCCGCCCCAACCATGGTGGTCAAGGATGGGGTGGGGCCGCCAGTGGGGGTCCGGCTAACGCAAAGACCGAGCATTTTGCCAGTAGCCGCACCTCCCTTTTCATCATCCCCCACCCACAACCGAATAACAGCAGTGTCTAAGGCCAACGCCCTCCCACACACCACACACAACCCACTCACACTCACATTCACACCCGTGTTGGCCAAGGACCCTGCTATTACCGATCAGAGGTATCAAGCAGACTATCACCGCTGGTTGGCACTAAGTGCGCCGCAGGCGGTTGTGGGGCTCGAACCCACAACCTCCTGCCACTTGCATGCCTAACCAACTGAGCTAGGTGGC